AAAAAAAAAAAAAAAAAAAAAAAAAAATTATCTAGAAGGAAAAAAAAAAATCAACAATACACATTAATTATATGTATATCATTGACCCATCTAATCAAAGTATATAAGGCATATGTGTATTGGAGACACCGCCGTAGCTAGCCGCGCTGGCCGGCGGCTGAGTGGCTGAGATACCCACCGGAGCTGGTGGAGAGGGTGTCGGGGTAGGCGGAGCCTGCGGCAGCTCAGCCACGGAGACAGCCAGCGCGGCGTGAGTCGAGGCAATGATGGTGTTGGCAGCTTCGCGGTACTTGTACCTTAGGATCTCGGCTTTGACCGCGTTGACCTCGGCTTGTAAGGCTTGTACCTGCTGCTGCAAAGCGGAGATTGCGCCCATGCAACCGTAAACGGGGTCCCTAAGCCTCACGTTGGCTTCGTAAACCAAGCTATTGGCTGCGTCGGCTCGTTGGAACTCGGGCACCTCCTAATCATCATGAGTTATTATAATAATTAAGGAGCTTACAAGAGTTAAAATCGTGTTCATTTTAGGCGGTTGAAAACAATACGAACAAATCGAGAAAGTATGGTTATCTAACGATTAAGCAGCAGCATTTGTGTTGTAATAATGGGTTTATAAAAATGCACTTGAATAACTTGAAGTCCCACATGAGACCAGTGCAAAAAGGATTGATCCGGACAAATATACTGCAAGCAAATGGTACATATTATGCAGCAACAAGAATATTTCAGATGATATATTATTAACTACCATGAGCATCTTAGAGACATTGCTTGCGCCGAATACTTTGTGAACGGCAGCGAATTTGTGGGGTTCGTGTGGGGAGAAATAAGGAGAGAAAGGGCATTCCTCGGCACATCTTCGCCTCAACAGCTTACAAGCGGCGCACGGCGTGACCGTGTTAAGACTCCCGTGGGGCGGGCCCAGCACGTGTCGTCTTTTTCCCATGTTACTTACCGTGTTTTTACAACCATCGATCTCCGTTTTCAGCTTCTTTCCGATCTCGTCCAACTCCTCTCTTGTAAAGATAAATATAAGTTAGTAATAACAAGAAAAGAAAAATAAAGTAAGCCAAGCAAATAGTGTACTTGAAGTAGTTTGTCAAGAAAAACAAGAATTTTACCTTTCTCGTGACAT